CATACGAGTCAATAACAGCCTGAACGGAAAAGGCGGGATACTTTGTTGAATATCGAACAGATATTAACGCTGGACTATGCTCCGAGTCGAGTAAGACAGTAAGTCGCGCGAAGAGGACAATCATGATAAGTATTGCGTATCTCTTGTTAATAACCCGGTCATCAATTCCCTTGAATGCGCTAGATAGTCATCAGTCCGATATGGAGTAGAGCGATGGACATACCCGATTGCACAATGCAAGTTGCTAGCGCCCGTCAGAGTATCGCAGTGTTGATAACAGAAAAGCATCATAATATTATACACGGTAAGACAAGCGCTAAACGCACGGCGAGATTTCTTCCAACTGACACTGATTCACCGAGAAGATGTCTAAGTAAAGAGATATAGAGATTCCTGGTCGCGTTTCTTTGGGAATGACTGGAAGCGGAGTGAAAAGTTATAAACATGTGAAATGAGCCAATCCCGGCAGTTCTGTTCTGCAGCAGTCACCGGACCAGCGAAGCCACCGGCCTTCAAAGTCAACCGCCAAATCGCCAGCGGAAAAGGAGCTTCACGACGCATGGCGATGAAGTCGCGAGCGGCTTGCGCGCTCGAATATCCCAATGATAAAGAAGTCAAGGATGGAAGAAGCACCGTTCCTTCGTCAATGGATGACAACGCTTTATCGGTGAGGCGAGTGAGCAACAGGGCAGAGGTTTTCGATAAGTCGAGAGCATTAACGCTGGGGAATAAGGACCACAAACGACTTGATGATGACGCCTGAGGTTGTCGCTCAGACACTTTCAAGTCCACGACACTGGAAAAGAGGCGAGCACATCCAATGACAGCCTCGACATCCCCATCCCATCCAACATGAAGATGCAATACGCCGAGATTGGGAAAGTCGAAATGCGAAGCCAACCAACCGAGCGAACGATCAGCATTCACATAATGCCTTTCGGTGTCCCGATTATATGGATCCGAATGGAAGCGAATGTGGAGAGATGTGATCGAGGAGGATACTATGAGCGGACGCTGTTCATCGGCCGTCAAGTTTATGCATATGACATCAATTAGAACCAATTCAGCAAGATTGGCGGAGGAAGAGATTGCGATGCGGTAGTCCTCGAAGTTCATGCCGATTATGTGATCGCTCCTAAACAAACGAAGGACGCGCAGAGAATGATATGTCGTCGATACGAACGGTATCGCCGCACATGCGAGATGGAGTTCCTGTATAGGGGATGGATTGTCGGAAAACCATGATAAGGCCGGTGCCAGTGGTGTAAGGAAGCGGTTGAGGGCAGACATTCTACGATTCCGAAGGATGAATTTGGACAATGTAGGTGCCGCCGTCGAACGACAGTAGCGATGGAGAACTGATAAAGCCGGCGAGCAGTAGGTCTCGGCGTAGATGAAGGTGATCCGATGAAAGTGCGGTCGTAGAGCTTGCAGCATGCGCGCAAACAGTGCAGCATGGGTCGGGTGTTCTTCAAACTCGCCAGCGGTTATATAGACGCGCAGAGCAACACTCTTCAATCGTGCCAATGCTAGTGTCACGGCCTCCAGCGGGAAATAGCAAGACACCACAATGTCTGACCAGTATCCGGCCAAATCTAAAAGAAAGCGGTTCCATTGGCTGGAGGCCGCGCGAGGATTGATACGACGCCCAAGAAACTTCCGAAAGCCCATGGCCGGTGACCCGCCTAGACTTTCCCGAAATATTCTAGCGCATACTTCAGCAGGTAAGGCGGAGAAAAGAGTCGACGATGCGACAGGCATCTGCCGCATAACATTAGATCCAAGATGAACACAATACATTGATTCAGAAAGATACGCACTTTGAAGGAGCAAAGCAAGAGCCACCTGAGACGCATTGACGCCCAAGACTTTAAGTATCCAATACGGATGCGCCAAGCTCAATGATCGCAGGCGACACAGGTTAATCGATAGCGGGCAAAAACCATGATCAGGAACCGAATATCAGCAGCTAGAGATATCCGAACCGCCTCTATACTCGGCATCTGCACGCCGGACATATCCACGATCCCATGCAGCTGCGAATAATGTCAGTGCACTATCGAGATCGGAAATACCACACCCGTGGGGCCGATAGATATCGCAGGGACAAAGCGAAGGACGGCGGGATATCATCCGCTACCGGACGACGATGTCATATTGCGCGAGTACATGGCGGGAGAGAAGCTGATACTAAGTCGATACAGGAACGACGACTAAGTCACGTTATTTACTTATACTGTTAGTAAGTAGCGGTTAGTCAAGACGGCAATGCCTTGAAAACCGGTCTGATATCTGTATTGTTAAGCGTGCGAATACACCTGCAAAAGGACATTGCATATCCTATAAGGAAATATCAGCTCGACAAGCTATGATCCAGGTCAGCAACGATTAATTTTGATCACGCCTCAAGTCACGTTGTTCACAGATGGCAAAGTGCTCCAGGTGAAAAGAACGATTCTCTTAGTAAACTAAGGAATCGTAACGCTCACGGCACGTGAGCGTTACCAACCCTTGTCTTCCTCCTCCTCCTCCAAGGGGTGCTTGATCTCTGGATCGTGGACTCTGATGTCCGCTAAGCGAGATCAACGGCATCATTCGGCATCTCGGGGGCAACACCCTCTTGCTTTAATTCTTGCTCGTCTTCATCCTAAATGTTTGGCCACTTACTGCACCAATGTTTTCCACCACAGCTACACAACTATATTCTATGTAATAACTCGTGAAAGTAACTGGATTGGATAAATTGTGTGCACCACATACATTTTTAAGATCCATAATGAGTTCAGAAGTAGGTATACTAAGCGTAATGGGGACACAGTGCGCGACATGCTGAGGAGCACGGCAATGCAACATAAATGGCTTGGATGAGCCGTCGATGGAATTGATGGGAATTGCCTTTTCCAGGGGGGGGGGGGGGGGGGGGGGGTCGTGGGAAGGAGTAAGCGCCTCTTGTCCTCCTCGATGGCGTTCTCGAATACGGCGGCAAGCAGCGGCGAGACGTGCATGAGCCTGCATGTATCCTGTCTCACAGGCCCTCAATCCCAATCCTTCGAGGTATGTAGCCTTTTCCCCGACATGAACCGTGCTACTGACTCGTTTGCTGCGGGAGGTACGCATCGCGAACTACCTGGCCTCATACCGCGCGACACCGCCGCCGTACCCGACCGACCCCGCCGCGCGCGCCGCCCCGTGGCTCCCCCCTCTTCGTCTCGACGCCATTCCCCGCCCAAGGCGGCGGCGCACCATCCACATTCGGACGGCGGCCTGTCCGTTGCGCGCGCCGCCATCAGCGCCCCCTCTCCTCTTCCTTCCACTCTTCGATGTGATGACGTACTCGACGGCGGCGACAGGATGACCAGCAATATACTAGTACATCAAGCTCGCGGCATGCCATATATCCCTGGGCCACAACCCCAATCCTTCAAGTTTGACTCCTTCACCCGTAGCTCACGGTGCATCCCGAATCACTCAACCACGGGTAGTATCTTGATCTTCACTGAATCAACAGGAAAGAGAAATAGCGATGCTCTCATCTTATTTCCCTATCGTGGCGCGTCCTTCTTTCACTTGCTTCTAACGTCAAGTTGTGCTTCATTTTCCTTCGAACAGAAAGTGCGCCATGTGCATCGCCGTCGAATACCCCGCCTCCTGCCACGCAGTGGGCGCCTGCTGCATGCAGCCGGCCTGTTCGTTGTATGCGGTATCCACCAGCGTGAATGCCAACCTCTCTGCACTTCTTCGATGCGCCTCGATGGCGCTCTCAACGGCGGCGTCACGGTGACTATTGCTGAAACTGCTGTACTTCTTCTTCAATTCCTTTCGCGCCTTCGCGCCTTGCAACCACCCTGCCAATGCGATGGTCTGGAACTCGAGCGTCCTGACGCAATCCTGCGGTCGCTGCCGTGTGACCACCACAGCTATCGTTGAAACACTCATCAACCTCGGAGTTGCGGGAACTGTACCTTCTGGGCACCAACTTCCATTCATCGCCTCCCCGGTCCGGATCTTGTGCTGCAGCCGTCAACTCTTGCGAGCTCGGAAATTTCCTCGAACCTGATCATCCCCCAGTGTCATTACCGTCTCTGAATTCACGGCAAACAATGGAGGATGGTCACATCTCTGCTTCTTCATATGGGCGGTGCACTCTAGTTTTCTGTCGCTAGCTCCAACCATCAAGTTTGCACCTCAGTTTCCTTCGCCTCTCGCGGTGCTCTTCCTCTGCCGACTGGGCTTCGCATGTCCTGTACCCAATTTCCGTGGCAAATGATTAGTATATGCGCTGCGTGCCTTTCTCGGATACACTCCCAGTATATCCCGTCTCTATTAGCCAGAAGGTCGACTGGCTAACACTTACGCGCGCCGTCCTCCAATATCGAATTATGATACCATGTCAACGGATTATGACGATTATGATGAGTATACGCGCAAAATCACTGTCGACTCCCTCCGCACCACGCGAATTTCGCACTAAGAAACTGGCGCATCTGTGACTCATTCGGCGTGTTTCGCCCGTGGATGTTGGGACTCCACTGTGAGTCTCCATTCGCTCGTCCGCACCCACCTTTTGCGCATGTCTCCCCGCAGCTCGCCGACCACTCCGTGGCACTCGACTTGAATCGCGAGCATCGAACGCGACTCATCCCACTGCATGCATGCATGACACCAATGTGCCGCCGACCGACATTCTTGCCCGTGTGGCATACCTCTTTTAAATGCTTCTACCTCCGTCTTGTGAACCGTTGAAGCTCACCGAAGCATATGTAGTCCTGGATGTTCATCCCGAGCACCATTCGAGCCGTCTAATGTTGGTCTAATGTCATGAAAATAAAAAATCTGAGACTCAGGCACGCACTTCATACTACGGCAAAGGGATTTTTCCGCAGCACTGCCGCTGCCGGTTGCATTTTCTGTGGTAGTCTGCGGTAGTCAGTTCTGAGATCTCTAGGTAGGTATGTACACGTTTTTACGGAATATGTACACAATTCAATCTGCCAAGCGAATGACCTGACCCCGAATCGAACGGGGATCATCTGCAGACAAGCAACATCACACTATATGCAGACGCACTGACTTTGTGCTACCAGGTCGTTTCTAGGTATGCAGAGCGCGAGATTTGAACTGCCCTGAGCTGAGAAGTGCGATGAAAAGTGATCCATTCGGTCAATGGGAGAAGTAACCGATAAGGAGGTCTTGCCTCGGAGGTAGAAAAATATTGAAAATTTGGAAATTGTAAGATGCTGGCCTAGGGGAAGTTTCCCTGTGCTGGGACAATGAGCCGACGAAGGAGGATGAAAAAGGCTGGAACCAACCTTGGGATGACCTGACCCCGAGTCGAACGGGGATCTTCTGCAAAGACTCAGGTGAGATGCCCACAACTGTATGCAGATACACGAGCATTATGCTACCAGGTCATTCCTAGGTGCATGCACCTCGAGGCTTGAGGTAAGTATTGCGAGTGCCGGTTCCAGAAGGGAAAGGAGTCTCCCACCCGCGGTTTGATTTTGTACTTGGCTCGGAAGTGGACCATCTGGAGAGGGACGAACGATTATCCTACCAGGGCAGATTGTTCTTCCTGGGACAAACTAGTCGACAAGTTCCAAGAAAAAAGCAGTCTCATACCGAAGCCATGACCTGACCCCGAGTCGAACGGGGATCTTCTGCAAGGGCTCTGTCGATCGAAAAACATGCCACTGTATGCAGACGCACTAACATTGCGCTACCAGGTCGTTCTAGCCTACCTAGGTACCTGGTTTGAACTAACGCACCGCGTGTCCACGCCTTTGGTTTAATTCCGGAATGAAGCCGTGCCCACCGCCGCCGGGAGACGAAAGTCGTGTGCATTGTAGGTAAGCGTTAGGGACATCCCAGGAGAGAGCCCGCAGAGGTAACAGGTAACAGGGGAGGAGAGGGCGGCGGCAGGTGGAATAGTTCATGAGGGTCGAGTTAATTCGGCGCTGATCTGTGAATTACGAACCATTTTAATTCACGGAATCGGGTGGGCATGTGGGGTCAGCGGATCCAGAAGCAGGGATTACCCTGGGTGTTTTTGGCAGAATAAACTAGCCGATGAGCCAGACAAAAAATGCGTGAGGACCAACTTATGACCTGACCCCGAGTCGAACGAGGATCTTCTGCATAAACCTATTTCCCAATTATTACTGAAGCAGACGCACTCAGGATGTTGCGCTACCAGATCCTTCCTGGGAACCAGCACCTCGAGGTTTGAGGTATTGCGAGAGGTGCTCACTCGGGATATCCAGTAAGAGGGCTTGATTTTTTTATTAGCCGGGCCTCATGTCGCATAGGGACAGCCAAAAAAAGAAAAATTGTGGTGGGTGATTGCCGCGGAGCAAACCAGCCGACAAACCAATGAGGGACGAAAAAGACACAACAGTCCTTTGAATGACCTGACCCCGAGTCGAACGGGGATCTTCTGCATAAATATTGACTGCACAATCCAACTAAATGCAGATGCACTGACATTGTGCTATCAGGTCTTTCCTGGGTACATGTGCCTCAAGCCTTGAAGAAGTAAATTATTTGTGCGTGATGGCCGGCCGAAAGGTTGGACTTGGGAACTTGCCGGAGGGAGGAGATTCAGAGGCGTGAGTTATGTCGGCGCTGATCTGTGAACAAAACGGCGTTGTAATTCACCGAGGGCCTCGGGCCGTCCCAGTCCGAGGAGGGAATCAGAGGAACTTGCTAACGTGGTGGAGGCACAAAATGGCTATGGATATTGTTGCCAGAATAGATAAGCCAGTCGATCGGAAATGAGAAAAAGCAAAAAGCTTGTGATGAACAAAGTATGACCTGACCCCGAGTCAAACGGGGGATCTTCTGCATAAACATATTATCTTGAATAGTAACTGAATGCAGACGCACTAACCGTTGTGCAATCGGGTCCTCCGTTGGGTAGGTACAACCTAAGCTGAATGATCTTGCGTGGCTTGTTGCCGAGTTAACTGAAATCCACGAAGTCCGAGTGCACCATTAATTAATTAAATTTACCTTGAGAAGTCGTGCTGTTGGAGGCAGGAGGAACGACGGGGCCTGGCTTGCCAAGCAAGCGTACAGACGCAAGGGGGGACACCAGATCTGCAGAATGGCGGGAAAAACCAGCCGATGAGGGCCAAGAAAAAAAAAGAAGAAAGTGACAGAAGCGTAATGACCTGACCCCGAGTTGAACGAGGATCTTCTGTATAAATACCTTCCGAGGAGAATACTGAATTCAGACGCACTAACCGTTGTGCCATCAGGTCTTTATTGGGTACAGGAAACTTGAGCTGAGTGACCTTGCGTGGCTTGTTGCCGGGTAAATTGAAATCCACGAGATCCGAGTGCACTATTAATTAATTAAATTTGCTTGAGAAGTCGTGCTGTTGGAGGCAGGAGGAACGACGGGCCTGGCTTGCCACGCAAGCAAGCGTACAGACGCAAGGGGGGAAACCAAATCTGCAGAATGGCGGGAAAAATCAGCCGATGAGGGCCAGGAAAAAAAAGAAAAAAAAGGGTGTTACGGAGGATTGGAATGACCTGACCCCGAGTCGAACGGGGATCTTCTGCGGAAACATAAGGCGAGAAAATTCCACAGCATGCAGATGCACTAGCCGTTGTGCTATCAGGTCGTTGTCATATTTGCAAAGGATAGAGCCAGAAGCTGACGCGGTGACGAGCAGCAGTGGGAGCGGAGTCGAGTCGGAGTTCAGTGTCATGTTGACTCCGAGTCCAAGTCGATCGTCCGGGACCGAGTGACGCAAGATCTAGACTCTAGAGTAACCGAGTTTGGGACCACAGCCGGGAGACCCTACCAGGAGCTGGGTATCCGACAAAAGAGAAATCCCCAGTATTGAATATTTGCGCTGCAATTCCTACCCGCGTAGCCTAGAACACCTAGAATGAGAATCCGACACGGAGGTCGGAGAGGCGGGTGGCATATGTCAAAATAGGTCCGATCCGATTCTGACGATTTTGACCGTTTCCGTACGCGCCTTTTTGCCCCAGATCCGTCCGCACTGGGATCAGGGCGCCTGTTTTTGAGGCCTTTTCGTCCGCATAACAGATCGGACATTTCAGCGCGAGAGTCTATGTTTTAGCTTTCGGGCTGAAATGAGCCTCCCTCGGTCTGCAGTGGACGTCAGAGATCCAGGAAAATTCACAGATATCGGCGAATCTGTCCGCCAAATGGATCGTACATCAGACACCAACTGCTGTTTCCGTCGCCCTTTGTGATGAGACAGAGGGACCTTTTTTGGCCGTTCCCGTCCGCATAGTGATGAGACATTTGGCCTTTTTTCAGGCCAAATCCGTCCGCACTGGGATCGGACCTATTTTGACATATGCCACCCGTAGGTTCGGAGCAAGCCTGTCTCCGCACCGGCAAGCCAGTGAATCTCGGAGAGAGGCTTGTTACAAACTGCCAAAAAAGGACCATGTGTTCAAGAGACATTTTCTCAGCCATTTCAACTCGGATTGCCATGGTTTCTGCTGATAAATTGTTCATTAGATACCCCTCCACATAGCTAGGTGCTAAGAGGGAGCAAATATTATCTTGTTCTTGTAGTACACTTGATCTTTAACTCCGAAGTTGCATTTGGGATTCAAGCCAAACAAGGAATATCATTTGACCATTCCATGGATTTTATGGGCTCAATGAGTTCCTTAGACGATTTACAGCAGGTCTTCCAGCAAAATGTATGCCGAGAACGGTCTTGTTCGTGCAGGAAACAGAATTTCGGTCTTTGGTGAGGTGTGACACAAAGTGTGAGATGTGTGACTGAATCCTTTTCAGTGGCCAACCTCGCTGCATGGAGAGCAATGAAAGTCCACGAGGGACATGAAATGGTAATCATAAGAGTTTTTAAAGGTGTATTTGCCCTTGAAAGACGTTCGAAGATGAAGAAAACCTCAAATGTAATTTCGGATCTGGATGACTAATCACATCAAAACAGCCCGTTTCACTTGTTTTCGAGCCACGGGCTTCACCACATCGCTTACAAGCATGAAAAAAGTGGTTTCAGGATCTTGAATACAGCCATAATGAAATGGCATACTCAGATTTTCAATTTGGACAATGAGTATGACTTGGAAGAGGAACATTGCATTCAACTGATGTATGAAGAAGTGCAGGTTGTGGCCGACCTTATAGGACATAAGGGTATCCTACGAGAAATCCGAAGAGACCAAAACACTTTCGCACTTCCAATGTACAAATGATCAACTTAGATCTAAGGGTTCCATGCTGTATTAGAGACGGTAGAGCGTGCAGAACACATTGCCCTTTTTTTACATCTTGGCACAAGCCCCTTCTCAGAATGCGCTGCGAAGCACGTGCATGTCATGTGAGAAGGCGGCTTGTTCCGAACCTACTGTAAGCAGAGGATTCCCGTTCGATTCGGGGTCACGTCATACTATTCCGTTCCTAATGATTTTTCTCTCTCTTTCTTTTGGCGATCTGGAATCAAGATGAGCTGAGTTCATCGGAGAATCAAGACAAGCAGGAATGAAGCTGATAGCACAGTGGTTACTGTGTCTGTGTAGATTCACTCATCTCCACCGCATCTATGCAGAAGGTGCCCCGTTCGATTCGGGGTCAGGCCATGGGTGGTTTATTCATGGGTTATCAACGTTAGACAGCCTTACTCTGAACGCGAACGCACCGCTTCAGCAAGATATGGCGTGTTTCCAGAACATCTAAGAACACGGCCGGCGGCGGGCACTTCAGCCAGGCATGGCGTGGGAGAGATCGGTGCTGCAAGACCAGTTAGAAACGGAGGCTTGTAAGGCGGGACAAAAAATGAAGAGCAAGCGATTGAAGAACAGGACGTGCCAGCATAGCGAAGTGGGATGAGAGTGTCGCTGCTGCAGTTTACCGTATATTTAATGCAGGTTGTTGGTAAAGACTTTCTCAAGTCCGGACCGAGCAGTCCAAGAATTGAGGATGGGAGCGAGAAAGAGTACGAGATACGGCGAGGTGGCAAGGGCTCGCCGCCGTGACGCCATCGCCGAGCAACCGTCGCATCAAAGGAGAAGAGAGCGTGAAAAGCACGCTCATGGGCGAAGAGCACGGCGGTCTGGGATTAGTCGGGTACGGGGCGGCCCGTCGCGCGGTACGAGGCCAGATGGTCCTCGGTGCGCACCTACTACCTTTAGGCAAGTCGCCACCCCGTCCGAATGATCGTGTGTTAGGGCGACGCAAGGGCCGCAGAGGGTACCGGGAAGCGAGGTCAGGTAAATTCCGCCGCTCATCTAATTCCGGGGATTTAGTACAATGTCAGAAAACCATTGAACTGCTTCCCTGGGGCAGTGCCCGCGAGCTCGAGAAATTCAAGAAGACCCTCTGGTCCACAGAACATGATCGTGTGTGCACGGGGTAAATACATATTACACATTACTAAAGCATAAAATGTGATGCTAAGAATAAGTGTGGGATGAAACTAATATCAATTGTACGTTCGAAGACCCATGGGAGCGAAACAAAACATTTTTGGTTCCTCAGTATCGCTGTGGTGACGGCCCGAGTCGACCCAAGGGCAGCCCGAAGGGTGCATAATCTCCTTCCAGCAACTTCGAGAGGGCGTGGTAATAGGCGATTAAGGATGTGATGATACCAAAGGCGCCGGCCGCCTTTGGGAGACTGGGGCGAATGCGTCAGTATCATGACACGAGGAGGTAGCAACGACAAGGGCGAAAAGGACGTACCCAGCCCTGGTACTGAAGTTGGAGACTCCGAAGAAGAGGTACGTGAACGTCAGGAAACTAAAGAAGAGGATCCACGTTATGTGACGTCTTATCGACGCAATGCTGCAAAATACGCATTAGCTATCCGCTTTGAAATAGGAGTGGACTGGAGAAGATAAACGTACCCTAAGAATATGGTGACCATCATCCACGCCATGAAGTAGATGCCGATTGCGCTTCTGAACTCTGTCGGCGTGTATGTGCCCACGATGCCCGTACCGGGAATGATAAAGAGTCCATAGGACATCCAGAACGTTCCGTACATCGTGAACACTAGGAACGATGAGTGGGTGACAAGTTTCAACTAAAAAAAGGTATGATGCGCACCCGTTGCACCGTATCCATTGCCTCTGGGGAAGTGCCACATTCCGGCCATGAAAGTTGCTAGCCCACCAGTAAACAACGACAGCCCCAGAACACCATTAGCTTCGCTGACGTGGCGGGTGTTGAGTTCATAAAGCGAGAGCACGAAGAGCGTCGTAGCGAAGGCCATCATTCCTCTGTCGTATTCGCCGTGAGCGCCAGCAAGACATCAACGGGCAGCTACTTGCAAACCAGTGGGGTTTCCTATGAAACCAGGGCGGCCCCCGACGTTACTCGGAGCGATTCCTCTCCTGCCAGTGCCATTAGCCTCGACGTCGGACATGGTTTAAGCACTTGAAGTTCGTCTGTGTGAGGGGTGGAAGAAGGTATTTGTCAAGCTCCACGCACGAACATAGGGCATTTTATACGCTGCAAGACGGCATTATTACTGCTGCTGACGTCGGTGTTAGGTTCGAAATGAGTCATTTGCGGAGTACCTGTGAAAACATGAGGGCTCGGCGACGGGCACGGACGGATCTTAGTCGCGAGCGGTACCGGGCTATCCAAGAACGTCTGTCGTCCTCTTGAGAGGCCCAAACGGAACAGAGTGTTATGGGCTGAGGTTCAGAATGAGAAGGCGGTCCACTCCGCGCTGTCTCAGGATGCCATTTGAACGATGAATTCATGGCACTTGACGTGTAACAAATATGTCCGTTTGCCTCACTGAGCAGCTAGGTGACGTCAATGACGGCGAAGTCGACAAGGATGGATATTTGTCACGAATCGGCACAGGCCGGCAGAACATCCTGATTTTGGTTTTCTTCTATGACCCAACTATCACCAACGTCGGCGTCAGGAACGCGTCAGAGACGACTGCGACGGTAATGCCGGCCTAAAATGAGGAAGAAGAAATTCGATGAGTTGCAAAAAAAAAAAAAACTAATGAACCACTCACTCGCACTGAATCGAAACCGAATTGTCTGAGCGATCAGTCCTCGCGTCAGTTTGGTGGTCGGCAACCCTGCCGTAAATCAGTGATGGAGATTGTGGTATTACCGTATTTGGAAACTCAGCCCCTAATTCTGCTCTCCCAGAGCTCATCAACCCACTCCATGTGCTGTAAGCGCCGCAGAAGCTCGAAATGAGCATTAATTCTCTCAAAGCTCCTTCATATGCCATCGGGGCAGTAAAAGAACTGGATTTAACCGAAATCCATGGCTGTTCTTTTCGGAAAATACTCACTCAAATTCTGCTGGGCTGAAAGCCCCACGATAATTGATGGAAATATTCCCCGACATTCTTTACGCTATTAGAAGCAATATCTAGCTCCCGAACTTATCATTCCTAGCTTTGCCTTTCGTCAGGGCACCATTCCTATCGCCAAAATATGCTTGTATGCACCTTATAAAATTTTAGAAACTACATCCTGTTGAGACAGCCATTCCGTTTATTCATCTCATATAAAGTAGAGCTCAAAATGCGTGTATGAAGCAGCATCGCAAGCAAATCAACGCACCGAAGAACCTCGAAGGCCGAAGGATACAGAACGGAACGCCCGAATCTTGAAGATGTGCTCGTATTAGTCCCTGAATCGGATACAGTGACCCGCTCATCAAGACGAAGCGCTTCACGCCCTTCGATACCGCACATCGATAAGTTCACAGACATACTCGGACGGGATATGCGCTGAAATTATTAAATGAGCAGACACGATATCCTGCGCGGCCACAAATGGCAGAATATACGTGGCGTCGTGATCTTCCCAATCAAAGCGCTGAGTATCCCGGCTGGCGAGAGACGGTGATGACGGACGAATTTCGCAGCAGGTTGATGATACAGGGGCCAGTCTTGCCGTAGATCCTGTTAGCAGGATGCTCATGGCAAAGAAGTGATAGCAGCTTCGGTGGGCAGCGATATGAGCGCTTCGAGCGGCTCCTCCTGAAATATCTTGTTAATCTCCACATTTATTGAGCACATCGTATTGGTTACTTGCAGAGAAGTATGCACTCGTCGATTGAGCGAAATTCGAATACGAGAATGTCCTTTGTGGGTGTCGGGGCTGAATTCTGATTCGATATGGGCGGACACTGTAAAATTTCAGTGCAAGTCCCCTCATGATGCAAACCCGAGTCGAACAGGCGAGTCCTGCTTACCCCGGAGAAAGTGGTGGTGAGAGGGATGGACTCCTCCGCATTGGACCTTGCAAAACCCTGCTTAGTGCTCTCATTTTATCCGGAATCATCCAAGCGTGGTCCTTGCTTAGACGTACTCTGCTGGTGGAACACTGTGTGGAACTAAATTCAGGAGGAGCCGAGGACAGAGGAAAATAGTCAGACGCGGGCAGAAAAAGAAAGAAAAAACATACCTGGCCTTTACAGAGTCCAAGCCCGGATCCAATATTCACGCCACGTACGAAGAGATTGCGAGCATAGATGGACAACGAAAACTGGCGTGCCATCCGGATAGACACGCCAAGTGAGCGATAGGTTTTCCGGGGCTCAGCGTGCGCGGCATGTGTTTTGGAGGATATACAAGACGGCTGTGTAGGCGACAGGGAGTGGAAATTTCCAGCCAAAGAAGCCGGCAGATAAACGTCACAATGCTGCAAGAGCGCGCTGCATCGACCCTAGTCGGCGCATTGTACCGCGGAATTCTGGTACAGGATGCGCGAGTCCAAGGCCGCCAGTCCGAAGAGATAGCGATCAGAAGGGGAGACTTGCAAGGCGCGAAAAAATCTTAAAGAGCAAGCGATGGAAGAACGTCAGAGCAGCGTGGGAGGGTACTGAGGTCAGGTAGTTCGACCGCCCATCGCACGCTAGAGCACCGCAACCTCCAACAGCCCGTGCGCATCCCACGCTGCAAACACACGACACATGACGGCGCGGGGATCGATGCCCTGCGCACCCGATGGCAGACGCTGCAGATACACCGCAACCATACACGCCGATTGTGAAGCCACACACACCTCGGCGAGGCGGCGCAGCGCGTCCTCGCGCATGCCGTGCTTGTTTCGGAGGCGCAGAGTCAGACGCGTCAGCGACGGGGCTGCTGCAAGCGCCGCCTCGACGTCGGCGAGGTCGTGCGCGGTGCTGGTGAGCGTCAGATCCGTCAGCGCGGGGAACTGGGCGAGGAGCGCGGGGAGCGTAGCTGCGTGCTCTGCGCACAACTGAATTAGCGAGGGTCTGGCGGGAGCGACGCGTGCATACGTGCGTCGAGGGTAAGCCGCATGAGGGACGTCCGGGCGCGGAAAAGGAGGGCGCGGATCCGCGGTGTAAGAGGCGCGAGGTACTCGCATTCTTCCAGCGCGGAAAAGTCGAAAGGGGACAGTGGGCCGAGCAGCCAGGCATCGGGCATGTACATGTCGAGCGGTACATATCGCAGTGTCTTGATCGTCCTCTGGCCACATGGCACGGCGTTGTCTTGCTCAGTGCTGGGTGGATCGACCAGCTTGGCGTGGTGCAAGGAGATGGAGTCTAGTGCGGGGGAACAGCGCGCGAAGAAGCGGCTGAAATCGTAGATGGTGTGGAAGATGGGTGCGATGAGCCCGACACGCCGGATCGAGGGGGCGCTGAGGAGGTGCGCCGCAAGTGTGAGCCGCTCGTCCGCTGCGGCCCCAGGCCGCCGCCGGTGCAACACAACCGCCTCCAGATTCGGAAACTTGCAATTGAGCGGGCGGAGCGCAGTGAGCACGTCGACGTCGAGGGCCGCCCGCAGACGGCGCACCAGCGAGAGGAAGTACAGCGACTTTTTCACCGCGGCATAGAAGCGCCTGCAGGTTCCCGCCTCGTCGTACCGGCCAAGTGGCGCGGGATCGTCGATGCCCTGGCAGCCTCGGTGGAAGATGATGTCGTGGAAGAGATGGCGGTGGGCGGAAGAAGTGAATGCGCGGGCGACGAGCGCGCATGATTTGAGATCCCGCTTGGATTCTGTGAGGAAGTCCGAAATGTGGTCGCAGAGCTCCGGCACTTGCAAGGCTGTGGTGGCGCGCATCAGGAAGGACGACAAGCGAGTCACCATGACACTTTCGCATGCGTGTGCCCAACGGGGTGCTTCTCAGCCACAACAGAGTGTGAGATCATTGTTGTTTGGATAGAACAGGGGCGACCTGGTAGTATGATGGTTAGTGCACCTGTGTTCAGTGACGGAGTCGCAGTGATTTATTCAGGGGATCCTTGTTCGATTCGGGGTCAGGTCATCATTTTTGATGCGGAGACCTTTTTCCTTCTTTGGTTCGTGCTGCAGTCAACAGGCCTTTTTCTTGAACTTCATTCTCAAATCTACCGTTTCGGTATTTATATTCCAGATCTCTCAAGCCCTAGACGATACTTCAAGACCTGAGGCACATCTCAGTAAAGACCCGGTAGCACAATGTCCAGTGCGTCTGCATACATTGGATAGTCGTGAAACGTTGATTCTACGGATGAGCCGTTCGAATCAGGCTATTCTCGATGGTTTCCAATTTTATTAGGCTTGTCATCGTATTTTTACAGTTGTATCCAGCCTTACATCTCAGCCTTAGATTTGATTCCCCGCCAGAAAGAATCCACTCGGTTTGGTCTCCGCAATGATGAGGCCAGACGACACTTTCTCTCCGATGGATTAATTCAGTCACGGCAAGCAAGCCTTAATTTTCTCGGTGGATCAACAAATTTGGACATACCCTTCTACTATCTGGTTCGATCGGAAAAAGATGTACTTCCGGGAATACAAGTGCGAGAAGTCGAACCCCTGTCTCCGCACAAAAGTCAACCGTGCACCACGACCAACCGCCGTGCGCCGTGCTCCACGCCCGATACAACGCTCTCATAATCAATCGAGGGGCGGTGACTACATGTCTCCCCAAACAGAACATGTTAGAAATTGCTATTCACGCCACATTGACCCTGCAGGCAGGAAGTGTGTAGCTGAACAGAGAACTGATTATCTCGGGGAAGCATTCCCCGAAGCAGAAAGAGCCAAAAACAAGATTCCAATCAACGAAGACACTCAGGTGCGGGGAGTCGAACCCCGGTCTGCGGTTTGCATCCTCGAACCAATTGTCTAATGGATAGCTTCCATGCACCGTACACCACACTCGATTTATATCTTTCAATGGGAGTCCTTGCAGTGGGATTCAAAGGAATAGAGGACCTCCTGGGACGTACGAGCGGAAATGGCAAAAAACCTGCATAGTGGGTATTGGATACAAACTCGCCAACAACGAAGGCCAGGGTGATAAGACTGATCCCGGACAGAGAATATTACCTAAATGCCATCTGTCTTGACCAGGATGGATACGGTAACGGCCTCGGATATTCACGACCCGCCGCGGGACTTAAGACGGAACACCGCCGGCAAGTCCCGCCGGCTGACAAGTTATCAGAAGGCTGATCAATACGCGGTCTACCGTCTTCGCTTCACTAATCTTCGTCGTCAGGGATATGACGCCTCCTCGTTCTATAAGAGCTGCATGGACGCTCATCGAACCTCAGCCACCCCACTTCCAGTGACTTCTTCAACTCCAACTCCAACTTCAGTTAAACAACAATGCCCATTATCACAATCTTCGGTGCGACTGGAACGCAGGGTAAGTCGGCGCTTAGAAGCAATATTCATTAAATGCTCAGGATTTTGCATTACGCAGGATCTTCTGTGCTCGACGCTGTCCTCGCCGACGGGAAATTCACACCACGCGCCGTGTCGCGTAGCCTCGATTCCGCCGCAAGCAAAGCCCTGATCGCCAAGGGCGTCGAAGTCGTCAAAGCGGACCTTTTCGACCTTGCATCAGTAAAGGCTGCGATCCGCGGGAGCGAGGCGGTGTTCGGGGTGCGTCCAGTTTGATACTTTGCCCGCCGCTCGGTCCTAAATTTCTGCCCCGTTCTTTAGACGACGAATTTCTGGGATCCTGAGGTATTCCCCGCCGACCCCAAGGGTAAGGGGGAGATCACACAAGGCAAGAACCTCGTCGATGCGGCCAAGGAGGCCGGGGTGAAGTTCTTCATCTGGAGGTACAGTGGTTACACGCCCTGCCTACGCGCGACGGTTTACAATTAATTCTATGATTTCAGCTCCTTGCCGAACGCGACCAAAGAATCAAACGGACTGTACACCCACGTCTACCATGTAGACAGTGAGCCCCTTATTCATTTGCACCATCCACTGTCTCACTGACATGTGCTCAACAGATAAAGCGGAGATCGAAGACTACCTTAGAGCCTCCGGTGTGCCGCACGCCGTGCTGCTTACTGGCTGGTATGCGGAGAATCTCTGGAAGTACGCATCCCACGTCTGACTAGGATATCGAGTACTGACGCTTTCCTCCACTAGATTCGGATCGCTCACGAAGACCGACACGGGATACACCATCCCCATCCCCAAGTACGGCCCGGAGGACACGCAGTCCGCCACCTGGGTCGCCCACGACCTTGGTGCCTCCGCCGTCGCGCTTCTTTCCAACTACACCGACCCATCGAAGGGCGTCCTTGGGAAATCTTTCCCTGTTATCAGTATGAAGTTCACATATCCTCAGATGGCAAAGGTCATCGCGGCCGGTGCGCCAACCTTTTTTCGTACTCCGTGAATGATGCTGACGAGCACCCAGCGATCAAGAAAGAGGTTACATTCACCCCAGTCGAGACAGCTGGGATGGCTGAACTCGACGAGATGGTGCGCATCTTACCTTTCGCTCATTTATTAAACCCGACCTCTCGTCAGTTCCTCTTCCAGGCAAAAATCGGGATGTACCCCGACACCCCAGTGCCGAACCCCGCCTTGGTCGCGCTGGGTGTGAAGTTTGGGTCGTTGGAGGAATTCGTAAAGACCGAAGTCGTGCCGCGGTTTGCTTAAATTTTTGCTCAGTCCTTGCCTCCACTGTACCTTGTCGTTGCCCCGTATTGAAAATCGATCAAAGTTGCATATTTCTGTCAACCCTTTCTCCCATCCAAGGTCCATTCAATGGAGCCACTTTCCGCTGCATTTCTAAGCCAATTCCAATTCTAACTTCTAAGCTGTCAGCGGCGGTTCAAACTCTTCAATTTTCGTTCGTTCGAGGTGTTGCTTCCGCTCTTACCTACAAAGTCATAGCAGACGGAAATTTAATCCGATGCGCCCATAAAATGACGGTGGCCAGCGAGCGGACTGCGCACTGAGATGGAACGCCGCCGGCAAATTCCGCTCGCTTACAAAACGCGGCGTTCCGCTTATATCAGCACCTGATCGGGAAGTCGGATGCGGCTTGAGCCGCTTGATGTCAGACGAGTAACGCGGTCGGATATAAGAGGGGGAAGGGATTGTTTGACCATCCTCTACCGCGCCCAGAACCTCCTTGAGCTCGGAAATTCAACAACACAAGAATAATGCCAATTATCACTATTTTCGGCGCGACCGGGACCCAAGGTGCGTTGCCCTGTCTTTAATAATAATGGAATGCCAGCTCAAGAAATTACCCATGTCAGGCTCCTCGGTTCTTGAGGCTGTGCTAGCGGACGGGAAATATACGCCGCGCGCCGTCTCGCGGGACCTCGACTCCGCAGTAAGCACGGCCCTGATTGCCAGGGGCATCGAAGTCGTCAGGGCGAACCTCGTCGACATCGAGTCCATCAAGGACGCAATTCGCGGGAGCGATGCGGTGTTCGGGGTTGGTTCATTTTTCTCTCTTTTTCGTTCTCCGTCCCTGACTGGTGGATCCGCGCTATTTAGACGACCAGCTCCTGGGATCCAGAAGCTATGAGCGCGGGCCCCCGAGGAGTGGGCGAGATCGCACAAGGCAAGAATCTCGTCGACGCGGCCAAGGAGGTCGGCGTGAAGTTCTTCATCTGGAGGTGAGCTTGTCCTACCACGAAGCTACTCGGAACTCCACTTACTCTGTGACCTAAGCTCCCTTCGGTTACCGGATACAAGTAAAGACTCGAACGGGCTATACGACAACGTTTGGCACGTCGACAGTATGTCCTCGGCTGATTCATTCTAGAAATCAGTGAACTCTGTTCCACAGGTAAAGCGGCGATCGAGGCCTACCTCCGAGAATCGGGCGTCCCGCACGCTGTGCTCTTTACCGCCTGGTTCGCGGACAATCTCTGGAAGTGCGTGAGCCTCCCGATCCTAGCACAGCGATCTGAACCATCGGCGATCTGCAGGCTTAAGTTCTTGAAGGAGAAGGACATGGGGTATATCCTCCCCGTTCCCAAGTTCGACACGGAGGATATCCAGTCTGCGACGTGGATAGGGCGGGACCTGGGCGCGGCCGCCGTCGCGCTTCTTTCAAACTACAACGACGACACGAAGGGCGTGCTGGGGAGCGTGTACCCCGTCGTCAGCATGCAGTTCACATATCCACAGTTGGCGGGCGCGATCGCGGCGGGTACGTGCGTTTTCTTCGCGCGATCCGTAGGCTCATGTGTGCGCAGCGATCAAGAAGCCGGTGAAGTTTGTACCGGTAGAGACAACCGGTGTCGCTTCGACGGACGAAATGGTGTGCCTCCGAGCTCCGCTCATTCGGTGCCAACCTAATACCCCCTCAGTACCTTTTGCAGGCCAAAATCGGGTTATACAGAGACACTCCTGTGCCGAATCCCGCCTTGGTCGCGCTCGACATGCAGTTTGGGTCGTTGGAGGAGTTCATACAGCGGGAGGTCGTCCCGCGATTTGCTTGAGGCGCGAGGACGATGCGAAAGGTGTACGAATTTTGCAGGCAATGACTAGAATATACGATGGCTGCTGAAGAATTGCCATTCAACATTGCCAGCCATTGCATGTGCATATTGGCCGTTAGCAAATAGGGTGTACAGATCCAGCAAAACAGAAATTCCTTGTTCAAGCGCCCAGTCAATGGTATTTTGCTTTGAGGGGTGACTGCAGCCACGGCAGCAGTAAAGTTGGAGACCAGTTTCATTGCCGAGCAGTAGTGCGCGGCCTAGCTGCCTTCTTTTTATTCAAATTCATTTTATACGCTTTTCCACTCTCAAACGCCGCAGGTGTGTGAGACGAGAGGCATCCAGGTCCCAACATGTCCCCCGTCCGCTTTATTCTCTTGGAGAATTGTTGGGAGGTGCCACATAATTGCTGCAGTTGGGTTGGTGATACACAATCTGAAAAATACGAACGACGATGGATTATATTTTTATCGCGGCCGCCAGTGATTCCTCGAGAAGCAAGTTTTTGTCGGCCAAGCAGATATGAGTATAATCCGACCAGCTTGTTGACAGCGTGTCAGATTGA